TAGTGCCTTAGCTATCAAAACTTGTTTAGAGACAATTCCTTCAAGAAGTCTACCCGTATGATCTTTACAGACAACAACCATTTATGAGGCACGGCTACATCAGCAGGGACGGAGCTACCATAGTACATCAATTTTTAATTTAGTACTAAATTTGTTTTTCATGTTTTGAATTATAAAGACCTTTTTGAATTTAAAGAAAATATTTAGAAGTTAGGGAAATGAACCATTTCTTTCTTTATAGTCAATTCTTAAGATAAAATAAAGATTTTACATTAGTTATAATTTTTTGTACAATTTATATTCTATCAATTCAATAATTGAATTTAATATTCTAATTGAAAGTTCATTAATATCTATAATCATATCAAAAAAATAAATTATATTTTATACGATATTATTATTTATTACTACATTTACAAAAATAGGGGATAAAAAATACTTCAAAATTAGGATGTTTTAATGAAGTACCACAAAAAAAACTAATATATTCTTCATTCTTACCTAAAAAATATGCTAATTTAATCTATTTATTTTAATAGAATTTATTTAAATAACATAGTTTTGATTTCTTTTTTCATTTTTTTCAATCCAACTAATTAACATCATTCTTATTATTTTGTATTATTTGTTTAAGGGTACTGAATTGTATTTTATTAAAAAATAATTAAACATATTAAGTTAATTTAATGTTTGGCATATATGTTATAATTAAGTAGTATATTTACCCATAAAGTTAGTGATTAATATAGAAATTAGTATAATTTTTTTTTTTTGTTTATAAAACTTATTGATCAAAGTCAAAACTTCTGACTAATAATATGTTTAGATTGAGGGGAATGAAACAGAGGGGGAAAGTGTTCTTTACTTTTTTTAATTTAGTTATTTGGGAAGGGAAGGTTGGGGAATGAAAGGGTAAGAATATACATAATTCTAATAACAAATCATATAAATAATAATTAAAAATTAATATAAATTATATTGATATAAGCTTATAACTATGAAAAATTTTTAAATTTCACCCTATCACCCAAAAGTCTAACTCCGTCTCCGAACATCAATAATACATTTAATAGTCAATATGGTGTCCATTTGTCCATAGTTGAAACAGTAACACCCCCATCGAGTCCCATTGGTGTGGAATCCGAAGGTTGGAATTCATTGGTAAGTTAATGGGGTTACATTTAATGTTTAAATTTTGAGATCAGCATCTAATAACTAGGTCAAAAATAAATTAATGATAGGGGGCTTTTTTTTTCTTTCTTATAAAGGGGCTTAAGGTAGAGCCTTTGACCATTTTTCCATAAAACCTTAGGTTTGGGCCCTTTTATTTTCAATTTTTTCCAGCCATGGTTGGGCATGACAACATAATTCTCCCATGCTTGCACCTAAAGCAATTAATTATTTGAATAGATTACCAACTACCAAAGTAACTCAGTGATAATTTACTTTCGTTGAAAGTAAGAGATTATAAATTCAAGTCGGATAACATGCGGATAAAGTATAATAGGGAATGAGAGAAAATTACCTTTCGTTGTACAATTAACATTAAAATAAAAAATTATTTGAATAGATTGAATCAAGTAAGGAGCACTTTTAATTTAACTTAGAAGAGATTGGCTGGATATCTGTCAAAAAAAAAAATTCCTGTTAGCTTTTATCTTAGCCATTAGAAAAATATTTTTTCTCATTTTTGTTCATTATATTTAAATAAAAAATTTAATTTTTAACCAAATTTATTATTTATTTATTTCACAATAAGCTGGGTGCAGTGTTTAAGGCCCAACTTAGAATGCCTAAATCCAAAATCCAACCCAAAAAAAGACTACTGAAATCGGACGGCGGAGAGGAGATCTAAATTTTAAAATCCTTACGTGGAAGCCAATATTCCCAAGGATCCAATGGCTGCCATTCAGCTAATAAATCATTAATTAAAAAAAATAAAACCAAATCCTACATAAAGAAGAAATCTCCGCGGCTTCTCGATTCTTCCCTCCATCGCTTGCCTCATGAAACCTCCACCTTTATATTCTCCACTCTTCTTCTTCCCATAGTCCACCCCCACAGTTTCATCTTTTCGTCTCTGCATTCTCTTCTTCTCTCTTCTGTGCAGGTAATTCTCAACCCATGATTCGAATTCTCTGTTTTTAACTTGGGTATGTCTCAGTTTTGCTTAATTTCAATTGCTCTGTAATTTTCAGGGGTTGAGCTTGCCGATCAGTTGCTTCTCTTTTTCCTCATTGACAATGACTCATATCCTTTAATCCATTGGTTTTTCCACCTGGGCTTTGGTTTAGTATTGTTTGATTCTCAAAGATGTAGTTTTTTTGTTTGCCAATTGTGATGCTATCTTGTTTGTTCTTAACATGTTGCTCACGCGGTAATCAAAGAGATAGAGATCGTGAGAGGGCTCAGGCAAGAGCAAACAGCAAGTCCAAGCAGCCGAAGAACGATGGATTGACTCCTGAACAACGCCGTCAAAGGTCCGGAGTCTCTTGCTTTTTCTTGGACTGTCTATCAAATCTACTTGTTTTTGCATTAGTTTTGTATTCTGACTTCCAATTATGGTTTTTTTTTTTTTCCTTCTGTTTTGACGTGCCAGAGACGCAAAGGCACTGCAAGAAAAGACAGCAAAGAAGGCGGCTCAGTCGGCGGCTGGAGAGAATAATGCTGGAGGAGGTAAAACTAAGAAGTAATGCTGCAGGGAATAATAAAGGGTAGTGTTAATATGTCAATTGGGAATGTGCTTGTACTTGGGGGATCACATCCGGGTATATTTTGCTTTCTTGAGTTGTGTCCATGTCTTTCTCAAACTAAGCAAATAGTTTGTTGTATAGTTAATTGGCATTGATGTTGACTCTTGAACTTTTATCTGATTTCGAATGGAGCGCATTCCCCATGTAGCATATTGCAGTTGATGCTTTGTTTACTTTTTCCTCTTCTTTTTCTTCTGCATTATTTTGCATTAATTGTTCATGTTCTTGTGAGTTGAAGCACCTTTATTGTGTCAACACTGCTGTTGGCATCTTTCAATTTTGGATGCCATCCTTCTTGTGATTGCCAATAGAATGAATATGGTTAATCATTAATATTTTTGTTTCACTCACTGGATATTAATTGATTTTTAAGTTTTTCATGGTTTTTCATCATGATGGCTAGTTGATGAATTATTTTGAGTTTTAATTGCCTTGGAACAGAAGAGTTTTCTTCATAAGCTTTCTTCATTTGTAAGAATCAAACATCTTATATAGAAAATTGTTTCAATTTCTTAATCAATTTTACATGCATTCTGGTATTGTCTTGCCTTGCGTTTAAAGAATGTTACTTGAATCTGCTTGTCATCTTTGTTTATCCTTTTTGTTTTTTTTGGTTAGATTATAATGGATTTTATGTTTAGCATGAGTTGTCCTTTTATGAGCATTGTATATCTATGTACCTCCAATGTTTAGTTGTCTTTCTATGTTGTTTCAAAATCTTGAAAGGGTTCCAGTGCTTGATTTGAATATCCTGCATGGGTGATTTTGATGATTTCCTAGTATATTGTTATGCATATCCTTTTTCCTATGGTTATCCTTGTTTCCAGTCAAATTCTCCTTCCTCACTACCTGCATCCTACATGTTGTTTTAACTTCTGTGATCATTGATGCCTACCATCATTTACACTTCCCAAGAGAAGCAGTTTCATCTAGGCGTTTGTGTTGTATTTTCATTGGTTATCAATGTTATTTCTTTGATATGTACACAAGCTTCTTGGCTATCTCATGCACTTGTACTTTCTAATAGTGATTTTTGAGGAAATAATAGCATCAAAGTTACGAAGTATATACATTTATCATTTGCTCTTCTTAGTTCTCCATGTAGCTAGGTGTTCGAACTTAAGCTGCTTGCTCTTTACCTTTTTTTTTTTTTTTTGAACATGGCGGGAATTTGGGGGAAGGGGGGTTAACAAGGATTAGAACCAAGGTCTTAGCCTTGCTATATATGCACCCTATCCAGTGCAACGAGTGCTGCGGGTGCTGCTCTTTACTTCATTTGGCTCAGTGTATTGGTAAGATTTGAATGATGTAAAAATCGTGAATTTGACCGTTGAATTTGCAAGTATATTGAAATATCCACCCTCAAACTGTAAGGCGAAAAGAATTTGGATGTTAATTTTTCATGCTAAAAGCCTAAAACCATTGTCATTTGTCATTTCGTCTGAGCATAAGATTACAAATTATGGGGGTCAAAGCAAAGAGACAAGCAGCCGAATCAATAAATCTCTTTAGATTGGATTCTGTTAACTGCTCCAAATCATACTTCAAGTTTCATGAAAATATATACTATTACTTTGTTTAATTTTAATGGTTCTAATTTCACTTTTAATTTTTTATTAATGTTAGATGAGAACTTAACATAGTATGTAAATAGCAATTGAATTGTCTTGTCATGAAATGAAACTACTCATCAAGAATTACATATTGTAAAAATAAAAGTTTCAATTATCATTCATATTTTTTTGTTAAATTTTGGTTGGAAATTATTGTTGAAAAAGTTAAATAGCTTGTCTGGTTTGGGGAGGTAAAATGAAAATAGGAGAGAAGGGGAGGGAAGGTGCTACCAATGTTATTGATATCATACTGTATCAATTGATATGGTTGGTACATATTAGTTTTTTTATTAAGCCGAAATGGTATATGATTCAATTTCATTTTGGTTAAATTCTGTCTATTTTGGTCAAATTTTAACGTATCAACCGATATTTCGATGTACCAGTCAGTACACCAAAAATTGGCTAGTGCAAATCGATGCAAATTTAAAAAGGATAAATTCCATTTTTGATTATCAACTTTAATGTTTTGCATAATTTTCATCATTTAACTTTTTTAATCTATCAATTATGAAAAATGTATTTTTTTAGTCATTCTATTAATTACTCTGTTAAGTTTGTCTAAATATGTACATTTGTAGTCCTTTAACTTAAAGTAGAGTGATGAAAAATATGCATATATTAGAAGTGAAGGGAGTAAAAATGTATATTTTTAGTCATTTTTGACAATTTCAAATTTAAACTTATAATTCTTAGTATTCATCGGTTGATACTTTCTTTTCTCAGTAATGTTTTGGTTTGTCTTTTGCATTCTTATTATACTTAGAAGACATGATTTCTTCCTTAGTGGAAGTATTTTGTATTGCAAATTGTATAATATTAAACTTAAAACAATGTTATGCTTTCTAATATTATCTTAATATTCAAAAAAAAAAAAGAACAAAAAATTATAGATGTTTTATAAAGTTGACCATTTTAAACTTGTTTTCAATTTATAGGAATATGATGATTTTAAACATTAGTTTATCTTATCATTATTTTAAATTTTGATATTTAATTTATAAAAATATATATTTATAGTGATAAATCTAAAATAATACGTAAAAAATTTTAGTATTTGGTATATACCGTTCTAATAGCAAAACTAGTATATATGTTGATACGGTATTAATAACGTTTGGGTATTACTTGTTATTATTTTATTTATTTATATTGCATTTTTGTAATTTATATTTCGTACTTATAAAACATCTTAGAGATTGCTTAGAGATTGATTGCATGCATTGCACCATTCAAATAAGAGATTGTTTCCTATTTCTTTCAAATTCATTGTAATTTATATTTATTATTTTGCAAAACAATGCACATGATTTGATTTTACAGGATTTTGTCACTACAGTAATATTTGGAACATAATTGCGTCTATAAATCATCAAGATAAGAGCAATAGCTTCTGGTTTGATTGATCTTTGTGTTGGTAGAATGACGCAATTGAATTGTGCAGAATTATGTTCTTTTTATTCTGACATATTATTGAACACTATGGATGACATTTTTTTAAAACAATTTAAATCATGCATGTTACCTCGAATGTTATTAGGTTATAGGTCATTCTTCTTTTCTTTCCTTCTTTTTATCCTGGAAAATGATTTAGGACATTCTCTAATTTAAAATACTCAATAATACACACAGATTAAAATTTACAACTTTACTTTTTTTTCTTTTAATTTTAAACTAAAAAATAATAATTTTTTGATAAATATATTAAATTGAAGAGTATCTATTTTTGTCAAAATGAATTTGCCCTTTTATACATGAAGGACTTCCATCCTAATATATTAACATCTTCTAAGGTTGGGCATTTTTCGAGTGGAAACTAAAAACATCAAAATTTTAAACTGAAATTATTTTTTGGTTTGGTAATATTTGGTTTTTGGTGAAATTCAAATAAAAATTGACATGGGCCGCTCTACATTCTAATATTGTTTAGTTTTGATGTCAAAATCCGAAAACCAAAATGGTAGTTCATATTTAACTGAAAAAGTTGATTTTCTCAAGGGATTATATAAAAATAAGCAACATTGTTTATTATTTGACTCAAAATTATAATACACATTGTTTTTTAATAACACTAAAATAATGGAATGAAAGATATTATTATATCGAAAATTCAAATTAGATATATAAAAATGAAATATTTTCAATTTCTATCATTATAGTGTGTTACTGTTAAGTAAATGATATTTTCAAAAAGGGTTAACGCCAACTGTAGTCCTTGTACTTTATAAAAATGTTCATTACCATCCCTCTACTAAGGAAATGTGCAATGTCATCCCTCTACTTTCCTTACCGCATAAATGTCATCCCCTACTACACTTTTTTTTGTTCAATGTCACCCTTAATTGGATGTCATCCACTTTTCCGTTAGTTTGCCTAACCGTTAAACATTTAACTTTTGTTTATGGATTTTTCTAAGGGCACATATTAATAGCATTTTTTTTGCAATAAATTTATGTAAGAAAATGTAAAAGTAAACATTAATCTTAATATTATTGTCATGTAAATAAATTCAATTAAACAGTTAATAAATTAATTTTTTTTTTTTTAAGATTCTTAACATTGTTTTAAGGATACAATTTAAAATAACCCTTTGTTTATTAATTTTTTGTTCATCTAGTGAGACTAGTGGGACCAATTCCTTTATATTTTTTGGTTTTGTATTATTCTTTATGGCTTTAGCCCTCAAACTAACAAAATCTATTAATTCTCTATTAAAATGAGAATAAAATAGTTATAGGATTAATCCTGAAAAATAAAAATGTAATAATTTAGTTCTAAAAGTTTAAAACTTATAAAAATTAGTAAATAAGATGAATTAATAGATGAATTAATAGATGAATTTTTCACATATACTAAAACAATATTAGGTATTTATAATCAAATTAAGTGATTAACTCAATTTAGAAAAAGAATTTTGATTGAGATTAAAAAAATTTATTAATTGAATTAAGATAGAAAATTCATGAGACTAAAAGAATATAACCAAGAAATTTTCTTTAATCTTAGTCATATTTCTTTGTTTACATTG